CATAAAATATGTCTTTAAATATTTTTTTATGGAAGAAGGGACCCATAAAGGCAGAAGTGCCTATGGCCCCATGCAAGACCCAGTGTTGCCCTGTGCTGCCTGTGGAATAGGGTGGGGAAGTCTACTTAACTGAGTTGTTCAGGTGACAGATCAGTTTGGTTCTCATAAGCTACAGCCTCCAGTTGGTCCTTATCAGTTCAGGAGATACTTGATCCATCATTTACCTTACACTTGCCCTTTATTCTCAATTTAGACAGAGAAGACCAATGCTATTTACTGGGCTCCCTGAAGACCCCAACATAAATCACAGGAATATATATTTACTGGGAATTCCCTGGCAGTCCAGTGGTTAGGACTCCAAGCTCCCAGTGCCAAGCGGGGGGGGGGGGGGGGTTCAGTCCCTGGTCGGGAACTAAGATCCCACAAGCCCCGAGTTGCAGCCAAAAAACCCAAACAAAACCAAACAGAAAAGGAATATATATTTACTGAATTAAATGGAAGGAGACTGGAGAATTTGTATACTGAGCAGGGCTACTCTGATCAATGTTGGTCAATCTCTGACAAATTACTGTTATTTAACTTCCCTTTTCTATGTTCTATGCAGGTGCAAATTCCTCTGTATTTTGGAATCAGCCAAAAGAAAATGAGGAAACTCCTTGACATCATCCTACAAACCATCCTGATTTGGAACAGGTATTTTTCAGCAGTCCATCAAAGCAAATAATGAGAAATTCCTATGCCCTACCATGAACAAATGTCCAATGTAGGACATATTTTGAAACACTCACATCTATATGGGACCTAAAGTAAAATCTGGAACTGTTTTACATGTGACAAAGGCACTTAGGTGATATTACATTCAGAGAGCAAGTTGGAATGACAACATTTTTTCTAGGAATGATAATGTTTTTCTAGGAAAACAATATTTAATTTTTTTCCCTTATCTAGTTTACTTGATTAAAACTCTGGATATCGGGCTTCCCTGGTGGCACAGTGGTTGAGAGTCCGCCTGCCGATGCAGGGGACATGGGTTTGTGCCCCGGTCCGGGAAGATCTCACATGCCGCGGAGCGGCTGGGCCCGTGAGCCATGGTCGCTGAGCCTGCGCGTCTGGAGCCTGTGCTCCGCAATGGGAGAGGCCACAACAGTGAGAGGCCCGCGTACCGCAAAAAATAATAATAATAATAAATAAAAAATTGTACATACTTAGAGTGTATAACATGATGATTTGATATAGGTATACATTGTGAAATGCTTATCACAATTAACACATCCCATCACTTCTCATAGTTACCTTTTGTGTGTGTGTGTGCACACGAAGAACACTTTAGATGTATTCTCTTAGCAAATTTCAATTCTTAAAAGTTATCTCCTCTCCGTAGATATTCTTAGTACCCTATTCCTTCCTTCGAGATATTTGTTTCCTCACTTTTTAAAAAAAAAAAAGCAGCACTTTATGCCTGCCTTTTTATAGATAAATAACTGCACAGAGAAAATTACTTTTTCTTCATGATTGAATCCATAATATCTGCAATTAATAACTACCATCTATTGAGTCTTTACTTTTACATGCTTTCATTATTTTAATTAATCATAAGTAGATATAATGAACGCATTAGAGAGGTGAGAAATTTGAGTTTTAGAGGGCTTAAAGTAATTTTCCCAAGGCCACAAAGCTTGCAGCTCCTGTTGAGTATGGTAAAGAAATCTTTTATAAAGATAAGCCCACTGATATTACTTACTTTAGATAACAGCAATATAACTCACTATCCAGTTTCTACCAGATTTAAAATTGAAAAACACAGGAGTTCCAGCATATGTTGGTTCTTACATTTTTTTAGTAATGTTATTGCTAAATGTTATTCTAAGTTTAATTGGGAATGAAAACAAGTATTTATCAGCCACTATGTAAAAGAGGAAAAAAATCCTGAGACAGATTTTCTTTTGATTTGCCATATGCTGTGTCATGAAGTAATGCTCATTCTTTTACTCATCAAGTGTTCAAGGAGTGTTTTGTACAAGGGTCTGAGTTTGGTAATGAGGAATACAAGACTAAATGGGAAACAGAACCTATCTTCAATGAATTGATGATCTACTAAGGGAGATTATAAATATATAAATAATTAAATTAAGTGGAATGCTCCAAGTCAAATTAAAAGGATAGAAATGTAAAGGTGGCATAAATTATTTTCGACTGACAGCAAATCATATTTATGTTCTAAACATAAACAAGCATGTTTAGAATTTAGCTGTTAAATAGACCGAAGATGCTTTAGACAAATATCAAAGATTTGTTTATAATAAATTACAAAATTTTATTTATTTGCAAAAATCCAAGACATTTTAAAAAGTGTAAATTTTATTATTTCCTTAAAGGCCAGTCTTTCATCTAAAAAAATGCCAGGGTTCATCTTATTTAAAGTGTTAAGTGGTAGCATTTTGCCATTCTACAGATTCATCTGGCATTTTAGAGAATTAAATATTGTAACATAACCAACTGGAAGATTATAGAGAGCAATGTGAGATCAGGAGTAGCACCTTGGTATTTAAGGTACATCAAGATACTCAATAATTCAGATATTCTTAAATTTCTTCTTTAAAATTAAAAGATACCCAATCTCAAATGAGAATGAGCATGATAAACAATCAGTTTATCCAATGTTTTAACCTAATGCTTATGTCTCATCCTTTAAAAGATGTGTTGTACTTTTCCTATTGGTTTAGAATTTAAACCAATAAGGAAGGAGGAAATCTTTATAAATATTCACAAAGAAGGCTGGCATTGTGCATGTTGAGTAAAGATTGCTTTGTTCTTCATTTGAGTCTGACTTTAGAACTTTATAGTATTGATGTTTTTCTTTTATTGATATAGGAAGCAAACACTATTTTTTCTTTAAATATTCAGCCTGGGTGATGTCTTGCTGGCTTGAAATATATTTTCCAGTGTTAAGAATACTTTATTTCTTTTTGTTCAGACCTAAGATGTGATGAATCCTTAACAATGTTCAAAGGAAAAATCAAGAATTTAAATGCCAGTTTTTATTATCATGTTGATATTATCAGCATGATAATCATTTTATTATCATGTTCATATTTCATATGAATGAAATTAATATTAACTTGCTAGATTTCTTTGAAGTTTATAATTACTAGGATTCTTTCATTACTAAAGTGGCATGTATCACTGTTATTAGTCTCTTTTAATGGATGTTTAGAGGCAGAGATAATGTCAGGGTCTCAGCAAAAGTTATTTATATCTTGAGATTCTGGGTACTTTGTTAAAATCTCTGCTGCTTCAAAATTAATAAAAGCATTGATAGGGGTGTTTGTATTTTAATTTCTTAACAGGGGCTCAAGGGACTTTTAAAAATACAAAAATCATACAAAAGGGAAAAAAAAACCAGACCTATTTTCCCCCGTGTGGTTGGTTTCATTAGAACATGTACCAAACCCGAGGTCTCTGCTTAAATATTTCGGGTTTCTAAAAAAACCACTAGCATGTTTTCGTGAGTTAGTGTTCCAACTAGACCTAAATGAAGATAAAAATTCACTTGCATTTTCCCCAAATTTCCACTCAGTTTATAGCAATTACTAAAACAACACTGACAGTCTGTCTCTTCGATGCAAAGGAATACTTTGTCAGGGGGCTACTTCTTTTCTCTACGAAAAACACTGATGGTGGAACAAAAAGTAATTGCAAAGGGAGGGGAACAGAGGGAGGAAAAAAACAAATAAGCATAATCACCACCCCCAGAAAGCAAGGGTGAAAAATTCGTGTGCCTGAAAACACAACATTTCACGTCAGAACACAGAAGAAACAAACAAAGGAAGGCAGAGTTTAGGAGGACAAAAACATGGAGCAGGTTTTGGGGACGATCTAATAACACAGTGAATGCAAAAGGGCAGAAAACCTCGTTGCTTTTTCTTGGCACCTGAAAACTGAAGCTCTAAGCGGGGCAAAGGTCAGCGTCTGCGGTTCTACGTTGCAAACGTGGTCTCGTTTTTTTTGTGCTTCCGCCAGCGTGTTCTGACCGCATGTCGGCGGCGCCGGTTGGGACCAGGCAGCCTCGGTCCCGGCTGCGGCCGCGGCGGCAGCCGACCCCTTTGTCTCCCGGCTCCGAGGCGGCCGCGCCGTGTCAGACGCCTGAGCGCGCAGAGGGGCAGCGGGCCGCGCGCCCGGAAACCTCCCGCGGACAGCGCGGCGCGCGCGGAGGCGGGGTTCGCGCGCCCACCGCCGCCTTGGCCTTACACGCCTCGAGTCAACAGCTCAGTTAGGCTAAGCCGATGCCGCTTGGCTCGCCCCGCGGTCTCTACCAACTTGCCGCTGGGACCCGCAAGCTGGCGGGCCCGCCCCGGCTTCCATTTCCTTCCCAGCCTCAACCAGCGAATGCGATCTTGTGTTTCTGTTTTGCTTTTGAAGATTGCGAGAGAGTGAAGAGGCTTATACACGGCTGTGTCTAACACGGTTACCGCGCAGCTTGTTTCGGCCGAAATTACGGGCCCCTTATTGCTATGTTCACCAGCTCAAAACGGCTCCCGCCTTCCCCGAAAACCCGACGCATTGAAAATGGCTTGCTTCTCCGTGTGACCCCACCACAAGGAGAGGGGGAAACACGTCAGGCTTTCGGGCGAGCTTTTTTCGGGGGTGGGGGCGGCTCAGATGCAGCAGAACCGGCCAGGCCTGGGCCCGCTCTCAGTGGGGAGCGGGAGAGGCGGGAGCGCCCGCGGGCAGGGGTCGCTGGGGCTGGCCCTGCGGGGCGGGCCGACGCGCCCCAGCGGAGCTCGGGGACGAACCAGAGGTCTTGGTCGGGAGCCGGCGTGGGTGGGGGAGGCGGAGAGCAGCGATCCACCTGTGCGACGTGGCAGCCATTCCCTACTCTCCGAGACCCCTCCCCACTCGGCCGCCCACCCGCCCTCTCGCGGCTGGTTGCTGCGAGGCTGCTCTTCCCCAGGCGGACGGAGAGCGGCAGTGTCTCCCCGCCGGGCGCCCGCCGTGCGTCTCCCCCGCGCGGCCGCCGCTGCTCGCCAGCCCTGCGCCGTGCTGGAGAGCGCAGTGGCGGCGGCGGGAAAGGGCTGCGGAATCGCGGCGCTGCGTCTCACACTCGACGACGCGGCCTCGGCCTCGACGCCCTCCGCCCGTTCCCGGAGCAGGTAAAGGCGGCGGGTGGGAGGCGGGGCGGCGGGGCTGGGCTGAGGGTCCGGGAGGGAAGGAATCCCGGAGTCCCCGAATCCGAGCGGAGGGCCTGAGGTAAGCGGCGGGAGGCGCTGCCACTGAAACCCCAATCCCCGAACGTGGGGGGCCGGCACTGGCAGTCCGGCCCGCGGGCCCGGTCGCCCGGACGGAAGGGAAGTGAGGCGTCGGTGAGAGGCGGGCCATGGCGCGCCGCCCGAGGTCGGGCGAAGGCGGAAGCTGCGGCCGCTTTCCTGGCCCCCCAGTCCCTGGCGGCCTTCCAGGCCCTTGACACACCCCTCTCGCCCCCAGTAGCTTCCCTGTCAGTTCCCGCCCGGACTTGACCTCGAGGCCCTCCGAGCGCCTTCGGCTTTTCCCAGGCGGATCCTTCTTGGAACTTCGGGCCACCCTCCCGAGCACGTAGTCCTATTAGAGCTGTTTATTTACTCACTTCCAATCCAAACACAGCCTCTCCGCACGTTCCGAGTTTGGATACTGCGGGGAGGCATTCCCGGTTCCCGGTGTCTGTGCCGCTTGGATCGTCGTCCACACCCCCTCCCCCACGGCAACTTTGATCCTCGCTGGGTCCCTCCTTGAGCCCTACCGTGATCCGGACCCTCTCCTAGAGGTCCGTGTGGAAATCCGCCTTGGATAGAGTGAGTCACTCGACCTGGGGCAGTTTATTTCTTAAGCTCTTGGTTAAAACGTGGTGTTTTTTGTTGTTTTCTCTCTGAAAGAGAGCTAGAGTAATTTAAAAAGAAAAAAAGTGTAAACGGCCGATCGCGCTCGCTGTTGGCTTTAAAGAATCTTCTTTTCGGCAACAGTCTTTAGAACTAGGATCTGATATTTGTGGCACGGACAGGTTTGTACACATTCTCGCCATGCAGTGGTTGTAATGTCTTCATAGCACAGTTCTGACTTGAAGGTAGGATTGGCTGGTTTTTCTACTCAACATCTTTAAGCCAATCAAGAAGCGCTGCTTGCCTGGAAACTGGATAACTCAGAAAAGGTGGGGATTGGTTGAGCTCAGAGAAAAAAATCCTGGACATGAACCTGGCTTCTCAGAAAAAACTGATTTGCAGCTGCCTCTCTTCCCCCACTTAAAAAATAATGTTACCTTTTCATCTCAACAGCAGGCTTTTCATTCTTTTTTTTATTATTTCCACTGTTTTTCTATCAAACGCCCAGCTCTCTTTTTAACTCATTTTAGCTTTCATCCTTCAGTTTTCAATGAAAGAATCTTTAAACGCCTTAAGAAATGTAAACATCATGTGTTTGTTTTGATAATAAGCATGGTTTAATTTTCTTACGTTGTCCGTTGTTAAAGGTCAGAAATTAAATCAACAATTTTTTGTTCCCGTGCCAGAGCCTTTATTATTCAAGTGGCTGTGGTAGGATGGGGGGCTGCCGTGATGGAGATGGTGAAAAGAATAGGAAAGAAGTGGCTGCTTTTCTGCATGGATGCTACACTTTAGTTCATGAAAAAAGACTAACGTATAAAACAAACAAAACCCATGACAAATCAGCATTTAGTACTTACGAATGTCAGTTTGTGCACCTGTTGATTTTAGTTGCTCTGAAGGGGAGAGTAAAGAGGACCGATCCCTGGACTTCATATAGAAAAAGTGGGCTTAAGTTATTGAATGTTTTTTTCTTTATTAAAGTAGGCATAGTATCTGTACACAAGAGAGGCTAAATATATTATCAGTGTAGGTGCATGTTTTTTAATGCTATCTGAGGATTTTCCTTCTCTTAAAATCTCCCCTTTCTTCTTCTTATCTATGGTTATGCATGTCTTTTGATACGCAAAGCAGTTAGAAGAGAACTACCATCTTTGCCTTCCTTCTATTCAGCTTTTTATATGCAAACTCACATTCTAAGTCTTGGGAATAATCTTAGTTTGTCAGGTCAAACATTAAATCTTAGCAGATCACATTATTAAGTGCCTTTAGTAGTAGTTTTATTAGGAATTGAAGAAGAGATTGAATTTTTTTATTTTTATATTTATCATGCCAGTCTATGAGTAAGCCAAATGGCATTAGAATTATATCTGGGGCTTCCCTGGTGGCACAGTGGTTGAGTATCCACCTGCCAATGCAGGGGACATGGGTTTGATCCCTGGTCCGGGAAGATCCCACATGCCACAGAGCAACTAAGCCAGTGCACCACAACTACTGAGCCTGTGCTCTAGAGCCCATGAGCCACAACTGCTGAGCCCGTGCACCGCAACTACTGAAGCCCGCACGCCTAGAGCCCTTGCTCCACAGCAAGAGAAGCCACCGCAATGAGAAGCCCGCGCACTGCAACGAAGAGTAGCCCCCTCTCGCCACAACTAGAGAAAGCCCGTGTGCAGCAACAAAGACCCAACACAGCCAAAAATAAATAAATAAATAGATAAAATAAATAAATTAGAAAAAAAAAGAATTGTATCTGGACTCTTGACTTTTAATAACAATCCTTCCATCTTTTATCGAATTTTTGTAGCCATACCATTTAATTGTATAATGTTACTTTCATAATATGATATAGTATTTAGTAAAATGAATTTTCCCTATGTGTCTTTAAAATTTTTTTAATATATCTGCTCTATTTATTAAATTTAAGAATTAGTTTTGGAGACTGACATGCATAATATTTAATTTTTCTGTTCTGAAGCAGGGTATCTTTTAAAAATTTTTTTCTTTTGTGTTTAAATTTGTTTCTTCCGCCTGTAGTGTCTTCACTGTTCTCCGTGTCCTCCTCCCCCTAAACTCTCTGCTAACCTACTTCAAGATTTAGGTGGTACATGTTGTAAAGTCTTCTTTCCTTCCTTCCCCCAGCAGAGATAATCACGTACTCATTGTATTACCTCTGAACCATTACATACTTACTGCTATATTGAGCTACCTCCTCCCTATAGTAACTGAGTTTCACTGAATTTTACTCAATTCTTTTTCTCTAACACTAGTCCCAAAGCTATAGTTGTATAGGTATTAAATAAATATTGGCATGAATAAAGGAGATATTTTACTTTAAAAAATATTTTTCCCAGTTACTATCTGTATGCTGTTAATTCTTAAATCTCCAACCCAAAGCTCTTTCCTGATAACCGACTCGTATATCATCTACCTTCATGACATGTTCATTTGTATGCTCCCACAGGTAACTCAGACTGAGCATATCCCAAACTGTAGTTATTATCAGCCTTCCCTCTCCCAGCCTCAAACCAAAAATATGAAACAAACTACGTCTTCGTTCTAGGGGAAGATTAAATGAGATAATGCATGTGTGCTAAGAATTCGGTAAATAGTAGGCGCTGCTAATAATAACTTGGCAGAAACATGGGCTATTCCTTTTCCTCTCTTTTTCGCTTCATATTCTGATTGATCACTGAGCCCTGTTGAATTCTTTCTCCTTAATATCTCTTGAACTTGTGCCTTTTCCTCTATTCCCAAGGCTAACATCCAACTCCATGGTTAGCATCATCTCTTACCTGGATTGCCGCAGTAGCCTCCTAAGTGGTTATCCCTTCTTCCAGTCTTGCCTTCCAATCCACTTTTCCCACTGTAGCCAGAGTAATCTGTCTAACACGTTTAAACCTGTAACTCCCCTGCTAAAAAAAATTTTTTTTTTTTTTTCCACACTGTGTGGCTTGTGGGATCTTAGTTCCCTGACCAGGGATCAAACCTGTGCGCCCCTGCAGTGGAAGTGCAGAGTCCTAACCACTGGACCGCCAGGGAAGTCCCAAAACATTTTTTTTTTGTGACTTTTCATTGCCTTCAGGATAAAATCTGAACTTTTAAAAAAATTTTTATTTATATTATTTATTTATTTTTGGCTGTGTTGGGTCTTCGTTGCTGCGCACGGGCTTTCTCTAGTTGCAGCGAGGGGGCTACTTCGTTTCCGTGCATGGGCTTCTCATTGCGGTGGCTTCTCTTGTCGCGGAGCATGCGCTCTAGGTGCGCGGGCTTCAGTAGTTGTGGCACGTGGGCTCAGTAGTTGTGGCTCGCGGGCTTAGTTGCTCCACAGCATGTGGGATCTTCCTGGACCGGGGCTCGAACCCGTGTCCCCTGCATTGGCAGGCGGATTCTTAACCACTGTGCCACCAGGGAAGTCCCTGAACTTATTAATTTGGCTTTCAGGATCATGATCTGGCATGTTTACTTCTTCATCCTCTGTCACTTTCTCCTTTTGCCCTCAATGTGCTGCTAGTCATAAACAGTTACTTGGATTTCTCCCTCAAGATGCCACGTTTGTTAAATCTAGGCCTGAGTACAGAAGCTTTCCTCTGTCTGGAATGCCTTACCTAGCTCCCTGCTTCCTTCCCCTTTGGTTTTGTTAGCTCATGCTTATCTTTCAGGTCTCCGTAGAGGTGATGACCTCTCTAGGGAAGCCAGCCCTCTACTTGTTTGCCTAGTATTCTATATTCTCATTGTAATTGCTTATTGTTATCTCACCATATACTGGTTAGGGTGTAACAAAGAAAAAGGTAAATTGACTATGTTAAAAAATGATGTGAAGGACTTCCCTGGTGGTCCAGTGGTTAAAACTCCATGCTTCCACGGCAGAGGGCACTGGTTCGATCCCTGGTCAGGGAACTAAGATCCTGCATGCTGTGCGGCATGGCCAAAAAAAAAGAAAAAAAAAAAAAGATGTGATTTGCATAGAGTGTATTAAAAAGGGAATTAAATAGTAATTTGGGGGTTTACCTAGTAGGGAAGAGAAAGACATTATATCGGATAGATGAAAGTTTTCTAAGTAGGAAAGGCATACTAAGTAGGTCCTTTTACAGTTTCAGTGAAGTATTCCTTTACATATAATTTCCATCTTATTCAGTTTCTCTGAATATTAGTTAGAGGTTATTAGTTAGGACTTTTTGGATTGCAAATACCAGAGATACAGTTTGAAATGGCCTATGGATGGAAAAGTTACTGGTTCAGTAACCATATAACAGAAAGTGTATGGATAGAGATGGCCATAAGGAGCTAAGGTGGGAACTTGCCCATAGTTAGATCCTTCCTATAAATTTTTTTTTTTTTTTTTTGGCTGCACCCCGCGGCACGTAGGATCTTAGTTCCCCGACCTGGGACCTGGCAGTGAAAGCGCCGAGTCCTAGCCACTAGTCCTAACCACTGGCGCCATCTCTCCTACTGCAGATATGTTTCTTCACAAAGTGGGACCTGGTTCCTGGCGCACAGGCTTACCTACTTAGAGACTCATGTCAGAGGATCTAGATAGACTTGCTCACATGCCTGTCCTTTGACCAGTTCCTGCAGCTGAGGGGATGAGGTACTATGCCTAGTTCAGCCTAGATCATGTGTTGTGCTTACTTATATAGCCAGGGGTCTATTAGCAGGAATCAGGCCCCTGGTGGAGTAGGGGAGGAGAAGGAGTTCTGGGCAGACACAAAGAATATCCATTCTAAATCTTAACCACCCTTCTGACTTTCAATTTATTTTCCTAGATATTTTATTCATGGGAAAGAGATGCCCTGTATAATGGACCTGAGTATTCCAGGTACCGAAATGGTAAGTCCAGTATTTTAAAGAACTAAATTGGCTTTTTGGTTTGTGCTGGCATATAACAAATATTTGTTAAGCTTTTGTTTGCTAAATAGAAACACATTGTGAGATGCTTATAGACTAGTAGTGTAAACGAATAAATACAAAGGTGCTAAGGTAGAGGTGTATCTAGGATGCAGTGGCAGCTCTGTGTAAATCAGACTTTGGGATAGTGGAAAACTTTCCTGAAAGAAAGTTAATTGAGGCAAGAAATATGGGTTGGGTGGGATGGGGTAGAGGGACTTTTGGGTAGAACATGTGTGAGGCACAGAGATGTGAGATGGGCCAGGGGCCCATCTATCTTGTGATTTGGGAAACAAATAATTAGATACAGGAGGAGTAGAGAGTACCTGGGGAGGAATAGAGGAAGAGAATGGTAGGGGTAGGTAAGGGGCCAAATCATAGAAGTCCTTGAATGGTTTAACCAAGGAGTTGGAACTTGATCTTGAAAGCTGTGGAGTCATTGAAGCATTTTAAGCTGGAACTCTCAGGCTTGAAGTGCCTGTGTAATATACACATGGATATGTCTGTCAGGCAGTTTTCGGAGAGACAGCAGTGAGCGGTCCTGAAGAGAGATCTTAGTTCTCTGCCCAGGAATTGAATCTGGGTAGCCTGGATGAAAACTAGGAATCCTAGCTGCTAGACCACCAGGGGCTAGAGGCTAGAAGCAAAGTGGCCCTGGCTCTTGCCCCCATTTGAAAGCAGGAATGTTTCAAGGAGGCAAAAACTGTAAAAACAGGTACAAATTTTATTATTAGAGACACAACACAACAAGTGGGAGAGCACACAGAGAAACAGTTTGTTTATTTAAGCCTGAAGCAAGGCAGAAATATACACCTGGAGAGAAAGGGTATGAGTCTCTTCTTTAATGAGGAGGAGCGCAGTAAAGAGGTGATTTAAATCACTTATATAGGACAGTCCTTCCGGGTCTTTGTTTACTTTGGGCCAATAATCTTGTTTCTTTTTTCACATCTGACCTGTCCTAGGACTCTCCCCAGCATGGGTGCACAACTTTTTGCTAAGATGGATTCCACCGCAGAGGGCTGTTGGGGGTATGTCCACACTTATTATGGGGTGGCGCCCCCTCCCTTTTTTGACCCCTCAAGGAGCCTTCCTGTGCATGTGCAGACAGGGAAGTTTTTGTCGACCTCAGGAGTGGTCATCTTATCTTTTTACTTCAGCAAAGCTCCGCTCTTGCCACTAACTTTGTCCTTGGAGTGTCTAGGGAAAACAAAGCTTCAATTTTACTCCACTTGACAAACACCAGCTGTCTAGCCCAGGGGCCCATCTATCTGCTATCTCAAGGCAGTTAACTATATTGGAGTTTGGGAGAGAATTCTTGGCTGGAGTCATAGGTACTGAAGCCTTGGATTTGGATGGGCCTGGAAAAAGGTGGTGGAGCAGAAGGTTGGGAACAGAACCCAGGGTAACAATGACACTGAAAGAGAAGCATGAGAAAAGCAATCAGTGAAGGAGACCGAGAAGGGGCAGCCAGAGAAAAACCAGTAGGTGTAGGCGGCAGATTGCATTGGATCAAGAAGTCAACAGAAAGTGGGAAGTTGAAACAATAAATTGTAAACTACTTTTATTTTAAGGAACTGAAACTGCCTAGGAAATACTGGGAGTTTGGATAGTCTGAGTTAAGAATTCGCTTCATTGTTATCAATTCAGGGTGTATTGAGAAACCAAATTTCAAACAGTTTTTCCACTACAGGAATTTGAACTTTTTAGAATTAGAATTTTTAAAGATAGGGAGGAGAGGATGGAGGCTTTTTGGAGGGTGGTAGTTGGTAGGAAAGAAGTGGTTGAATAGGGCATGGATATGGTTTATGTACAATCAGTCATATTGGGGTGTACAGAGCACCTAGTAGAGTATTCTGCGTATAGTTTCTGGAGCTATAAAGATTCAGTAAGTCTATTTTATCAGGAGACCTAGAGTTGATAAATGATGGTGTAGTTGTAATTAAATTTATACTTCTTGGGATTTCTATTTGTGACTTTCTTTTCTGTTCTATTTCTGACTTAACCTCTCTTGAGTGAACATTTTCTTTCCCTTCTCTTACATTTGTTTTTCTTTGTAGTTAAACCCCTTATAGATTTTTTAAAAATTGTAATAAACGTATAACAAAATTTATCATCTTAACTACTTTTAAGTGAACAGTACAGTAGTGTTAATAATACAGTAAGTCCCCTACATATGAACAAGTTCCATTCTGAGAACGTGTTCATAAGTCCAACAAAGTTAGCCTGGGTACCCAACTAACAATCGGCTGTATAGTACTGTAATATAATAGATTTATAATACTTTTCACACAAATAATACATAAAAAAAAAAGTAAACATTTTTAATCTTACAGTACAGTACCTTGAAAAGTACAGTAGTACTGTACAACAGCTGGCATACAGGAGCTGGCATCGAGTGAACAGGCAAGAAGGGTTACTGACTGGAGGAGGGAGAGGAGCTGGGAGATGGTAGAGCTGAAGGATCGTCAGCAATAGGAGACAGAGGGCAAGCTGCAGTTTCCTTCACACCTTACTTGATTGGACATGCGAGCACATGTTTGTATCTTTGGAAGTTCGCAACTTGAAGGTTTGTATGGAGGGGACTTACTGTATATACATGGTTAATACAACAGGTCTGTAGAACTTTTTCATCTTGAAGAACTGAAACTCTACACCCATTGAACAAGCCCCCCTTCCCCACCTCACCTCTAGCCCCTGGCATCTGTCATCCTACTTTGTAAGAGTTTGACTACTATATTTGTTTATTGAGGTATAGTTAATGGACAATATTATATGTTTCAGATGTACAACATAGTGATTGACCATTTTTAAAGGTTATACTCCATTTATAGTTATTATAAAATATTGGCTATAGTCCCTGTGTTGCACAATATATCCTTGTAGCTTAGATATATATATATATATATATATTTTTTTTTAACATCTTTATTGGAGTGTAACTGCTTTACAATGATGTGTCAGTTTCTGGTTTATAACAAAGTGAATCAGTTATACATATACATGTGTCCCCATATCTCTTCCCTCTTGCGTCTCCCTCACTCCCTCCCTCCCTATCCCACCCCTCTAGGTGGTCACAAAGCACTGAGCTGATCTCCCTGTGCCATGCAGCTCCTTCCCACTAGCTATCTGTTTTACGTTTGGTAGTGTATATATGTCCATGCTACTCTCTCACTTTGTCACAGCTTACCCTTCCCCCTCCCCGTATCCTCAAGTCCATTCTCTAGTAGTTCTGCATCTTTATTCCCATCTTGCCCCTAGGTTCTTCTGACCACTTGTTTTTTTTTTAGATTCCATATATATGTGTTAGCATATGGCTTGTAGCTTATATTATACATAGTAGTTTGTACCTCTTAACTCCCTACACCTATCTTGCCCCTCACCCCCTTCCCTCTCCCCGCTAGTAACCACAGATTTGTTTTCTATATCTGTGAATCTGTTTCTTTTTGTTATATTCATTAGTTTGTTTTATTTTTTAGATTTCACATATAAGTGGTATCATACAGTACTTGTCTTTCTCTGACTTGTTTCACTTAGCGTAATATCCTCCAAGTTTATCCATGTTGTTGCAAATGGCAAAATTTCATTCTTTTTTATGGCTAAGTAGTATTCCGTTGTGTATATCTTCTTTATCTATTCATCTGTTGATGGACACTTAGGTTACTTCCATATCTTGGCAATTGTAAATAGTGCTGCTCTGACCACTGGGGTGCATCTATCTTTTCCAATAAGTGTTTTCATGTTTTCTCACATATACCCAGGAGTAGAATTGCTGGGTCATATGGTAGTTCTAATTTTAGTTTTTTGAGAAACCTCCATACTGTTTTCCACAGTGGCTGCACCAATTTACATTCGTGAGGGTTCCCTTTTTTCCACGTACTCACCAACATTTGTTATTTGTGTTCTTTTTTTTTTTAAATTAAAAAAATTATTTATTTTTGGCTGTATTGGGTCTTTGTTGCTGCACATGGGCTTTCTCTAGTTGAGGCAAGCAGGGGCTACTCTTTGTTGCAGAGTGCGGGCTTCTGTTGTTGTAGTTGCAGAGCACAGGCTCTAGGCGTGTGGGCTTCAGTAGTTGTGGTGCACGGGCTCAGTAGTTATAGCTTGTGGGCTCTAGAGCGCAGGCTCAGTAGTTGTGGCACATGGGCTCAGCTGCTCTGTAGCATGTGGGATCTTCCCGGACCAGGGCTCGAACCCACTTCCCCTGCATTGGAAGGCAGATTATTGACCACTACACCACCAGGGAAGCCCCTGTGGTTTTTTTGATGATAGCCATTCTGACAGGTGTGAGGTGACATCTCATTTTTTCTTTTTTAAGTCTTTATCAAATTTGTTACAATATTGCTTCTGTTTTATGTTTTGGTTTTTTGGGAGTGAGACATGTGAGACCTTAGCTCCCTGACCAATCAAACCCGCACCCCCCCTGCATTGGAAGGGGAAGTCTTAACCACTGGACCGTCAGGGAAGTCCTTCATGTGGTTTGTTTTTTTGTTTTTTTTTTTGCGGTACATGGGCCTCTCACTGTTGTGGCCTCTCCCGTTGCGGAGCAAAGGCTCTGGACGCGCAGGCTCAGCGGCCATGGCTCACGGGCCTAGCTGCTCCGCGGCATGTGGGATCTTCCCGGACTGGGGCACGAACCTGTGTCCCCCGCATCGGCAGGTGGACTCTCAACCACTGTGCCTCCAGGGAAGCCCCCCTCATGTGGTTTTAATTTGCATTTCTCTGATGATTAATGATGTTCTGTAGGCTATCTGTATGGAACTTGACTACTTTAGATACCTCATATAAGTAGAATCATACACTGTTTGTCTTTTTGTGACTGGCATATTTCACTTAGCATAATGTCCTCAGGTTTCATCTATGTTAGAGCATATGACAGGATTTCCTTTTTTTTAGAGGCTGCATAATATTTCATTATGTATATGTGTGTGTGTGTGTATCCCACATTTTCTTTCTTTTTTTTTCTTTTTCTTTCTCTTTATTTATTTGGCTGCATCGGGTCTTAGTTGTGGTGCGCAGGCTTCTCTCTAGTTGTGGCGCACGGGCTCCAAAGTGCGAGGGCTCAGTAGTTGTGGTGCGCAGACTAAGTTGCCCTGCGACATGTGGGATCTTAGTTCCCTGACCAGGGATCGAACCCGCATTCCCTGCATTGGAAGGCAGATTCTTAACCACTGGACCACCAGGAAAAGTCCTTCCCACTTGTCTTAATCCAGTTTTCTACTGATGAACATTTAGGTTGCACAAACTTTTTTTTCTTAATTACTTGTATGTTCTTCTGTATCAACTAGTCTGCTGTCAACTCCTTGTGTGTATTTCATTTCAATTATTGTATCTTTCAGCTCTTACTGGTTCTTTTTTATATTTTCTTGTTTCTTGTTAAAATTCTCACTGTGTTCATCTCAATTTTTTCCAAGTTCAGTTAGCATTCTTATTACTAATGCATTGAACTTTTTATCTGGTAAATTATTTATCTGTTTCATTGGCTGTTTTCTTTTTGCCCAGGGTTTTTTTTTCTTATTTTTTCATTTGAAAGAAATCCCTTTGTCTTCTCATTTTGTTTAACTCACTCTGTCTCTATGAAATTAGGATACCTATCCCAGTCTTGAAGGGTGTCCTCTGCATGTGAGTATGGGTCACATCTTCCCCCAGGGTGTGCTGGAAGCTATCACCTTGGTGTGAGGTGAGACTAGAGACTGAGAGGCTAGAACCAGAGACAGGTGTGAACTGGAGCTTCTCCCATGTTCAGTGGCCATCACCACCCTATTATGGGCATTGTCAGGTCCCAAGGTGTTGGAGTTAGAAATCCTGAGGGTCGGGTCCTAGCTGGTCTGTTCTCTCTAAGTATGCACTCTCCCCATGCCTGGTAATGGGGAGCAGCATTGAAGCAAGAGGAGCTGGATCGTGTGCCTGGTCCAGGCTGGGACACACGCTGGGACAGTTCTGGTATGCCAGTCAGAGCTCAGGACAGCTCCCTATCCAACATCTCCATGAGCACTAGCAATGGCTGCCCTTACCCCTTTCAGTACAGTGCTGGGCCCAAGTTGGCTCTGTCCCCCAAGGGTGAGATTGCATGGACTTTTAATTTGCTTCTACCTCTTGACTACTGTGAATAATGCTGCAGTGAACATGGGTGTGCAAATATCTCTTGGAGATCCTGTTTTCAATTCTTTTGGACGTATGCACAAAAGTGGGATTGCTGGATCATATTCTGTTTTTACTTTTCTGAAGAACCTCCATACCGTTTTTCATAGTAGCTGTACCGTTTTACATTCCCACCAACAGTACACAATAACTTTATTTATTTATTTATTTGGCTGCGTTGGGTCTTTGTTGCTGTGCGCGGGCTTTCTCTAGTTGCGGCGAGTGGGGGCTGCTCTTGGTTGCGGCGCGCGGGCTTCTCATTGCGGTGGCTTCTGTTGTTGCAGAGCATGGGCTCTAGGCGCATGGGCTCAGTAGTTGTGGCTCATGGCTCTAGAGTGCAGGCTCAGTAGTTGTGGCGCACGGGCTTAGTTGCTCCACAGCATGTGGGATCTTCCCGGACCAGGGACTGAACCCATGTCCGCTGCATTGGCAGGCGGATTCTTAACCACTGCGCCACCAGGGAAGTCCCCACAATAACTTTAACTTTTTTTTTTTTTCCTCAAGGTTGCTTTGGCTATTTGGGGTTCTCTTAATTTTTTATTTTAATTTTTATTTATTTAATTTTATTTTTGGCTGTGTTGGGTCTTCGTTTCTGTGTGTGGGCTTTCTCTAGTTGCGGCGAGCGGGGGCCACTCTTCATTGCGGTGCGCGGGCCTTTCACTGTCGTGGCCTCTCTTGTTGCGGAGCACAAGCTCCAGATGCGTGCAGGCTCAGTAGTTGTGACTCACGGGCCCAGTTGCTCTGCGGCATGTGGGATCTTCCCAGACCGGGGCTCGAACCCGTATCCCCTGTATTGGCAGGCAGATTCTCAACCACTGCGCCACCAGGGAAGCCCTTTTCTCTTAATTTTTATCCTTTAAAAATTTTTCTTTCATTTTTTTCCTTCCCTTACCACATGATTAAATTTTTCTTTTTCTTAGAACACATACGTAACCAGATATAACCTTTAAAATATGGAGTGTGCCCTGCTTTTATTAAAACTTGGTATATTTGAATTCAGAGTTTCAAATTAAGGGTTGGTATTTGATTTAAAAAGAATTTTTTACTTTGTAGAGGTAAACAAACCAGTTTACTTGAAGCATGGTACATATTAAAAACTTTTATTAGCAAAATACATAGACATATATATAGAAAAGTAGAATAGTACATTGAACTCATGTAAACCCACCTCCTAGATTTAATGATTACTAATATTTTGCTACATTTGCTTTATATATGTCTATATTTCTATGTATATATAAATTTCCTGAGTGTTTTAAAAGTAAATGGTGGCAAATGAGGGTTTTTTTCTTTTTGTGTACTATACATCTGTATTATAAATGTTATATATATTTTGAACTTTGATAATTTCATTTAAGGATTTAGCTTGAAATTTACTCTTTTAAAAAATCATAAGAGGGCTTCCCTGGTGGCGCAGTAGTTGGGAGTCCGCCTGCCAATGCAGGGGACACGAGTTCGTGCCCCAGTCCGGGAAGATCCCACATGCTGCGGAGCGGCTGGGCCCGGGAGCCATGGCCGCTGAGCCTGTGCTCCGTAACGGGAGAGGCCACACAGTGAGAGGCCCGCGTACCGCAAAAAAAAAAAAAAAAATTCATAAGATGTATTATCTTTGACATATCTTCCAGAAAAAGGATAGTCTCCTATATAACCACAAAACCATTATCATTCCTAGCAAAATTATCAATAAGTCCCTAATATATAATACTTGTACCATATTCAGACTTCTCTAATTGTTCCAAACACATCTTTTATTGCCTTTAAAAAAATATGAAAATCTAGTCAAGAGCTACCCATTGTATCTGGCTGTCTCTTGAGTCTTTTTTAATTATAGAATTGTCTCTTACCTACCCACCCCCTTTACCACCCTCCCTCCTCCTCCCCATAATACAGATTTGTTGGCTCTGTTGGGAATGTCTGACATTTTGTATTGCTGATAGTTTCTTCATGGTCAGTGTAACTTTTTCCTCTATCCCCTATATTTCATATAAACTGGGAGTGAGATTTAAAGGTGTTTCAGGTTCAGGTTAAACATTTTTGGAAGAGTAGTTCATTTAGCAATGCTGTGTACTCATATTGTTTCACTTACAGGCATGTAATGTTTAGTTGTCCCACCATTTGGATGCTGTGTTTGATCACCAGGCCAAGGTGATGACCACCAGATCGTTATATTGTAAAATTATGTTTGTCTTTTTATATCTTGCAAATAATCTGTGGCATGGTACTTTGGCACCAGGTATGTCAATATCAACCTTTCACCTAATGATTTTAGCCTTCATTGATGATTGTTGATCAGCTATTTAATTATGGTTTACAATATGGTAATTAGTTTTAGATCCTATTACATAGTTGTCTTCAATAAAGAAGGTTTCCCATATCAATTAGCGCTATTTTGTTGCCTTGAAATAATGTTCTACTTATAAGGCAGAATAAATGCTTAGGTCTTTCCCTTTATATATCCATTTCCAGAGTGTAATAGTCACCTCTAATGGCGGTGGATGAAGTCGGTCTTTTTTCTTTACTTTGTGGTTTTCTCTTTGGAATATGATATATATCTATATTATAAATATTGTATATATTTTGGACTTTGATTTCATTTGGGATTACTATTTGATATAAATTTGCTTTTGTTACATATGTATATAATATATCATCATTTACATTTTTTTTAATAGTAAGAAGACATTACGTTGGATAACAGGAAGAGCTGTAGAGTTTGCAGGTGTCAACTGTGGCCTTAATAAGCACATTGATAGCATCAGTGATAGACAGATGGTAAGTTTATTGAAGTCTAGAGTGAGTATATTTTACACATAGGTTTTCAAGCTTTTATTTACATATTTGAGTGATTAAAGAAATCTCTCATAAGAAGGAAAATGTAATCACATATTTTGTTACTAGAATTTCTCAAAGAGCTTGTGGTTGCATAAAACATGCTGACCCAAGAAGTCTAAAGAACTGTATTGTGGTTTTCCCATTTAATGTGTGTTTTGGTGTCTTTGCTTCTAAAATACCACTTCTTACTCCTTCATATTTTACGTATTTTAGCCATCCACAAACATTTTTTGTGCACCTATTTTATGTATGGGACTATGACTAAATGCCAAGTTGGAGTAGTGTGTATCATAATCTGTGTTCTCAAGGAACATGGCTAATTGGGGAAATAAACACATACAGATGAAAATATGTCAGTAAAACCAACAATGTGAGAATCTAAAATATCTAAGGAAGATTAGTACTGGTAGTAAGTAATGAAGGAGTATAGAAAGTGTTGAAGAATTGTAGAGAAATACACTTTCCTGCCATTCTTTGGCCCAAAGCTGTATATGGTTCAGCAACTGGCTTTTCCCCTTAAGAATATGTCTCAGAGATCTTTCTGGTTTCTACATTATACCTTCAACTTTTCATAGCTGCATAGTATTCCAAAGCATGATTTTTTTTTTTTGCCATAATTTATTTAACCATTCTTTATCAATAGTTAGTATGTCCAGTTATTACTTATAATAGTTCTTATGACAGATGGATGCATTTTAAGATTATTGGTTACCTTAATTTGGTTACATTTTCTATAAATACTGTCTTTTTTAGTGACACGCCCTTTGGTACCTTGATGAGATTTAGTATCTACCTTCAGCTTATCAAGCAGTAGACTTAAAATCATCTTGTAGGGTAACTTAATCCCCAGTAAATGATTGTATTGGTTCTTGGTAGCAATTGTTTCTGAGAGAGATGTTTTCTGATCTTGTCTGGGATTGTGCCATATTTGAGTCTTCTAACTTCCCTATATGTTCCTTATAGAGAGATGATTTTTGTTTTTGTTCCTTTTAGAGGGATGATTTTTTGTTTTCGTTCCTTTTATGGTGGTTTTAAAGAGCTAAAATACTATTGATATATTTGTTAGTATCAGTTTTCTTAGGCCTGTTATTTCTAGATGGTTGATATTGAGTATTAAATAGAATATCTTTCTTGACTGTTATAGAAATTTATTTCTGGATATTTTTCCATAAAGATAAGTTCTTTAAAATTACTAGCCCTTATATGCATGTAACAGATTTATTCATAAACTGATACAGGAAAAATTTTAAGTGTTAGCACTGTGTTGATGATGTAGTTTTTAGTAGGAAAGTTTTTTCCTAAAGTGTTGTTTATTGGTATATCCACTTTAACGGCAGTACTGACCATTACCATACCACTTCTAGAGTTCATGTTTACTTCTACTACTATTTATAGACTTCATGTTCACCCTGAATTTTTTTTAATGGTTAAAAGAACATATATCCTTATCTGTTAAAAAAAAAAAAAAAGAACTAGAGTTAATAAGACCTCTGCTTATCATGCTGAAATTTTTTTTTTTTTTTTTTTTTTTGGTGTTACGCGGGCCTCTCACTGTTGTGGCCTCTCCTGTTGCAGAGCACAGGCTCTGGACGCACAGGCTCAGCAGCCATGGCTCACGGGCCCAGCCGCTCCGCGGCATGTGGGATCTTTCCGGACCAGGGCATGAACCTGTGTCCCCTGCATCGGCAGGCAGACTCTCAACCACTGCGCCACCAGGGAAGCCCCATGCTGAAATATTTTAATGATAATCTGTGAGCAAGTATGTATTGGTTAGCTTCTCTCAGGTTAAAACTGAATAATAGAAGTAGAAGAGCTTGGAAAATGTGTATATGAAATTTATATATATATTCATGGTATCACTATTAATAACAATTTATATTATTTGTTTTTAGGTTCTTCATTTGAGAACCAGCCCTTTCACATTTCTCCATAATATATCAAACCTTCTTACCCATCCTAATTTCCCATATCCTTTTAGAATATTTAGGTCAGGTATGTATATGAAGAAGCTACACAAGCTTGTTTAGTGTATTAATGAGACCTTCTTTATGGAAAAATGAAGATATATAAAATCAGGTGATAAAAGTTAAATGTGAGCATTCCTTAAGTGAATAAATAGGATTGAAGTAAACTGGATCTACAGAGCGATTGGGAGGTAGTGTCAGCTATGTATGCTTTTTGTTTTTTGGTTTTTTTGTGGTATGCGGGCCTCTCACTGTTGTGGCCTCTCGCGTTGCGGAGCACAGGCTCCGGACACGCAGGCTCAGCGGCCATGGCTTACGGGCCCAGCCGCTCCGTGGCATGTGGGATCTTCCCGGACCGGGGCAGTGGACTCTCAACCACTGTGTCACGAGGGGAGCCCAGCTATGTATGTTTTTATACTTAAGAGTTTCTTCCCTATACTGGTTGGATACTTAAACTGCCTATATGTTTAGATCCTTTTGCATATAGGTAGACACAATAAAAAAAGGGGTGGAAGGATAATATAGTTTGCAAGCTGGAGGAAGTGTATAGGGAAGTCCAAGATTCACCTTTAATTGATAACAGTGGTTGCTTTTTCCCGTGATGATGAAAGAATGTATATATTATAGATTATTTGGAAAATGCAAAAAGTAGTTTATAAAAAGTAGATAAAAAAAAGTAGTAGTTAAAAATAAAGTTACCATTACCCAGGATTTCCTTTCCAATCTAATATAGTCCAGTCCCATTTAGGTGTCTGTATAAATTATATTCAGTTTTGTGTCTTGCTTTCTTTTTTAACATAGTTTTTAAAAATCTCTAGTTAATATCCAAAATGTAGTCTTTAATGGCTGTATAAAATTCCATTCTTATGAATTTACAGGGATATTGTATCTAGTAGAGTCTAGCAAACCTGGGTTCAGATCCCAGTTTTGCTACTTAAGAGCCTTAAGCCTGATAACTTACTTTTTCTAGTCCTTGGTTTTCTTACTTGTGAAATAGGCATAATATTAATTACTGTTTTAAGAATTAAGTAAAATCATGATCTTAACATTCTAGCTGGCATATGTTAAGTATTTAATACATTGTACTTACCGTCATCAGAAAGTTTTTTATCATTTCTTTCTCACCAAATATTTAGTTGTTTTCCATTTTTCTTTATAAAAAGTTACAGTATTTTGAACATCTCTATATAAATATTTATGTAAATCTGTGATTATTATTATTATTATTTATTTATTTATTTATTTTTGCGGTACGAGGGCCTCTCACTGTTGTGGCCTCTCCCGTTGTGGAGCACAGGCTTCAGACGCACAGGCTCAGCGGCCATGGCTCACGGGCCTAGCCGCTCTGTGGCATGCGGGATCTTCCCGGACCGGGGCACGAACCCGTGTCCTTGCATCAGCAGGCGGACTCTCAACCACTGCGCCACCAGGGAAGCCCTGTGATTATTTTTTATGATGAGTTCCTAGAAGTAGAATCAAAAAAATGGGTCAAAAAATATAAGTAACCTAAAATTTCTTGATACATAGTCAGTGCCATTTTGCTTTTCAGAAAGGTTATACCAGTTTACACTCATCACAGTGTATAAGAATTTTTATTTTACTCTAGCCTTGCAAACACTGGCTATTGTCATTTTTAAAAATTACGTTTTATTTAATAGGCAATATAAAAATGTTTTAATCCTATATTATCTCTTTTAATTTGGTTTTATTAATGGGGTTAAACTTTTTAATGTTTATTGAGTATTTCTGTTTCTTCTTAGAATTCTGTACCTGTTGCTTTCTCGTTCTTAGTTCTTTTTCCCTGCCTTAATCCTTTATTCATCAGCAGAAATTTATTGAGTGCTTACTATATGTTAGACATTGTTTTAGTATTGGTGTTTAATTTTGATATTTACTATAGTTTAGTGATGGCAATGCAGGAGTGAACAGAATTGACAAAAACATTTTTTTTCAAAGAGCTTACTTTTAGTGTCAGTATACAGGCATTAAACAAAATAAACATCTAAATTATAGAGTGATAACTGCTTTGAAGCAAAAAATAATGAAAGGAAGATGGAGAGAACTCTGTGTGCGCACGATTTTACACTGGGTGGTTAGGGAAAGCCTCACTACAAAGGTGCCATGAGTAAAGTCTTGTAAAAAGCAAGTCAGATACATATCTGGGGGGTGGGGAGGAGTGCATTTCTGGCTATGAATCAAGTGTAAGGGCAGTGAAGCAGGAGAATACTGGGTGGGTTTAAGAAAGAGCAAGAGGGAGACTAGCAAGAAATGATTTGAGAGAGTTATTAGGGAACCAGACTGTTTAGGATTGTAACTAGGCCATTTTAAGAACCTGGGCTTTTACTCTGCATGAGATGCAGAGCTATTGGAGGTTTTAAAGCAAAGGAGTGACCTGATTTGACTTATGATCTACTGATTCAACGCAGTCCCTGTCAGTGTACTGTCTGACTTTGCAGAAATTGACGAGCTGACTCTAAATTTCACATGGAAAATACAAGGGGCCCGGAATTGCAAAACAGTCTTGGAAAAGGAGAACAACATTGGAAGACTCACATTTCCTAATTTTAAAATTTACTGCAAAGCACAAGAATCAGGACAGTGTGATACTGGCATAAGAATAGACATATAGATGAATGAAATAGAACTGAGAGTCAAGCAGTAAACTCTTATTCTCATGGTCAGTTGATTTTCAGCAAGGGTACCAAGACCATTCAATGGGGAAAGAATAGTATTTTCAACCAGTGGTGATGGGACAACTGGGTATCCACATGCAAAAAAATTAACTTGGACCCCTGTCTTACACCATATACAAAAATTAACTCAAAATGGATTGAAGACCTAAATGTAAGAGCTAAAACTACAAAATTCTTAGAAGAAAGCATGGCACATATCTTTGTGACCTTGGTTTAGGCAATGGTTTCTTAGGACACCAAAAGTGTAACTGACAAAAAAAAAAAAAAATTCATCAAGATAAAA